TTACGTATTTCTTACTGCCAGTGTTTACTTCAGATGAACTAAGTGAATTTGAGGTACTCTGACCCGATTAATTTCAAGTTAAGTGTGGAGCAAGGTCTGTGATGCGATGAGGTAAGTATCTCACACTGCCGCCCCCCCCCCCAATCACCCCCAATGGCGGTCCTGTTCTCGAGGTGTCCCGACCAGCCGTCCTCCGCAGCGAGCGACAGACGCATCTCTTGGCTTCTGTTTGAACAGCCGCTGCCCCCTCCTTCCCGAAACCCCCCCCCCCCCCCACCTCGGAGCTCCCTGGGGATAGTTTATCATATTCATGTCCCGAAAACATTGCCCACCTGTACTGCCCTTTGTATCATCAACAGAACGTCTCCCCATATGTCCGCCGTTCCACGCTGTCTCGCATTTTCCCAGGAAGAGAAGACATAATTCCGGCAGCGACTTTAATGCGCGATGGCAGATTGGTGGAAAGGTGCCAGACTCCAGCGGGGGTGGGGGGGGCCCTGTCCCGGGGATCTATAAATACAGGGCCAGCGAAACAACATGTTTTCCACAGAAAAGGGGCACGGAAGCTAAGATTTGCTGGAAATGACAAGATTACGCCGCTGCTTCACCAGTGTTTGCATTAAAGCTCAGTTTGAAAGCTGTGCAAACAACGACCACTGGATGCCATTGTCCTCCTGAACTTCGGCCTGGGGGGTGGGGGTGGGGGTGCAGGGTACCAGGACTGTTGCTGTGCTCTTTTCACCTAACACTGGTAACTGTGTATATTTTTTAGTGTTTATCGTTTTCATTTTTAAAGTGTACTTTAAAATCACTTTGAGTGCCTGGTCCTTCCTGCTGAAAAGGTGTCAAAGTCACATCCCTTGGTCTGATCTCGTTGTCATGTCAGGTTGTGTATTTTGTTTTATTTGTTTTTTTTTTCCCCCACTTTTACTTCTCTTTTACGTGCAGCTATGGCAGAACCTTGACTAGGGCCTATCACCTTTGAAAGTTTATGCTTAGTTGATTTTTCTGGAACATTATGTTTCCTTTTCAAACAACTTTCAGATCCAGACAGTTCACTCCGGTCACTCTGTGGGACAATGCTCTCTGGCGTCAGTTTGGTTTCAACATTTGTTAGGGGCCGAATCGGTCTGAAACCCTCTACCCCATAAACAATTCAATTCAATTTTATTTGTATAGCGGGTTTTCATATTTCATTTTTTCAAAGTGCTTTATAGCATCCCCACCCAAAGACCCCAGAGAGTAAGCCAGAGATGACAATGGCAAGGAAAAACACCCTAGAAGGAAGAAATCTTGGGAGGAACCATATTCAAATGGGGAGCCCAACCTCCATGGGCCGGCAGAGGAAGGCAAATAAGCACAATGGCGAAGTCCCAACTCACACTTTCCCAATTTTAACATTTGAGTCTCAAAACAGGGGGCAGGGAGGTGCTGGCAGGCAGTTACTGGTGCTGCTTCAGATGGCAGGACGAACAGGAGAGACGTCACAGGTAGCAGGATAGGCAGGATATCTAGAAAATTTGGGGTCTCCAGGCAGCACAACCCAGGAGGAGTAGGGGAAATAAAATGTGCAATTAGCCAAAGTAGGGGAGACTAGAGGCAGAGCAAACAGTTAGCTGAGTGCAGTATGTAAACTCCGGCAGATACGGCTATGGCAGCATAAGTAGGAGGGAGAGGCAGGTGGGAACGCAGGCATGGGGAGTCCCTGAACGTCAGCACTTCTATTCCACAAGGGGGGTGAAGCTAGAGTGACAGCACTGACAACTGACAGTTAAGTTTATCCAAAGCCAATGGCACCGATCCCCACCCAGCTCTACACCTCACACTATAGGTCTAACTGGGAGTGAGCAGTTAGCTAGAGCTAGAACTATAGTCACTATAAGCTAAACTAAACACGTGTGTTTTTAGTCTAGAATATTGAGAGTGAACCTGAATCTCGCACATTCGATTTCACGGCTGAGGAGCTCTATAAGAGAATGCTCTGCAGCCTGCCATAATTCTTTCTACACTAGGTACTAACAGATATCCTGCTCATTGAGATAAAAGCATGAGAGGAGGGTTGTATGAGGCCAGTGGATCTCTAAGGTATTCTGGTGCAAGGCTATTCAGTGCTTTATAAGTTAATAGCTGTATTTTGTAGTCAATATGAGACTCAACTGGAAGCCAGTGAAGAGAGCGTGGAACATGGCTAATATGACCAAATGATCAAATTTTTTAGTGTTTGTACGACCTCTGGCTGCTGCATTTTGTACTAGCTGAAGTTTATGTAAGAATCTGGATGGGCAACCAGAACGAAGGGCATTACAGTAACGCAGTCTGGAAGTTATAAAGGCATGTATTAGTCTTTCTGCATCAGGGAAGGAGAGCGTCTTCTTTAACTTGGCTGTGTTCTGTAGATGGTAGAACACAGTTCTAGTAATACTTCTAATGTGATCATCGAAGCATAAATCTGAATCAACCAGGACACCAAGATCTCTGACCACTGTGTTAGGCTGAGTAGGTTGAGGTTGTCAAACCAATTTCGAGCAACTAACAGTATTTCTGTTTTTTTCTGGGATTAACAGAAGGACATTTTTTGCCATGAGCACTGGATATCTTGTAACTGAGAGAACTGTCATGTGGCTTAACAGATAAATTTAACTGTGTATCGTCAGCATAACAATGAAGCTCAACACCATGATTTCTAATAATATTACCAAGAGGTAGCATATATAAAGTGAACAGTAGGGGGCCCAGTACTGATCCCTGTGGGACACCGTATTTGACTTGGAAGATTCATTGTTCTCACACACGGTACCACAATATTGGTAGGTACGTGTGCTTACTGTCCATACATAAATAAATCCACCCAAATCTATGCCCAGGAATGTGTGATGGATTAGGTTTACGCTTGTTGGCACAGCGCCACCTGCTGTCGGTTGGTACCGATGGCGATGCCTGGAAAGGTGTCCCTTGCGCTCTCTTTTGCTACCCCAGAGGACTTTGGCTTGAGCCTGGGGACCTATCTCCTTTCACCTTGAGGAGCCCGACCCCCCCCCCCCCCCCCCCCCC